ACTTCCTCTTCATTGTGACTTCAAGAGTCATTTCAAATTAATCATCTTCTTTTTTTTTTTTTTTTATCAAAGCTTGTGCTGTTCATGGCTGTGTGTAGCACCTACAGCTCTGCATATTCTCCCAAAGATTGCATGTTACAGGCGCAATGTAATGAAACAGATTATGGAAGAAGAAAAAAATGAACTGACTAAATGATTGGTCACCAGAATGGAAATCGGTCATTCCATCGGAGGATCAAGTTGATATTTTAATAAAAAATTGCATGGATCAATTCATGCCGACTTTATGCCGATTTATTTTTTTTGAAAGTACAATATGACTCTTTTAAACAAATATGCAGTTACAAGTGCAACACCTCTTAAGAAAAACAGTTTCTCACCAGTTTATACACAGAAGGTTCCAAGCTTTCAGCATTACTCATGGACTGATTTATCCCATCAAAATTCCTCTGGAACACACCGATCTAGGTGCAGAATCCCACATCTCTCCAGTGGCCAACAGCTTCTCCAACTCCAGTGAACTGCACAGAGTAATCATATTCTCTACAGACCCTGTGAGCCCTGTGAGGGAGAGAGAGATGGAACATCTTTTAGCCAGAAAAACTGTTAATAATTTTTAACATGGACACATCTGTGTAGATCCCTTAAATCTGATCCTAAATCAACACTGGAATGTGTTTGTACTAGACGTTGAACATTTGCTTACCAAGTCTGAAACTCTGCTCTGGTCCATTCAAACTTATGATCGTAGTTTCTGAAGCCTCTAAGGCCCGGCAGCAGCGGGTTGAACTCTGCGTTAGGTGTGCTGACAATCACGGCACCTGGTGCCATGTACCCAAACACCACCTCTGAAAAGCTCTCCACCTTCACAAGCTCCAGGTGTTCGATTCTTAAAGGGGTTAGAGATGTTTACGTTGACAAAGCTCAAGTGAAACATATAATCTTAAAGTAACTTTTAGTTTATTTGCCTGAAAAACCAAAGATGTGGCACACTTACAACTCAACACATGTAACAAGATCAAATCCTCTGGTGCAGGGCTCCCTCTCTGTGACAGACCCTTGGTACAACTCAATGGTCAAAGGTCCATCACTTGGCTGTAGATAATCACTTACAAGTGGAGCCAATGTATGCCTGGCAAAAAAAAATAAAAATAAATCACACAAGACAGATGAACACAAGAAGTTTGATTTGCATATGGCCAAAAGTACTTGGAGGCCCCCTTAATTCCACTTATGCAGCATAAACCGTTGGCCTAGCGCAAATCACACAAGACAGATGAACACAAGAAGTTTGATTTGCATATGGCCAAAAGTACTTGGAGGCCCCCTTAATTCCACTTATGCACTTATGCAGCATAAACCATTGGCCTAGCTGTGTCATTTTAATGCCATCTAATACTACACAACAACAATGGGAGGTTTGCAGGCAAGATCCCAAACTTACATTCTCTTCAAGAGGACGACACTGTTGATATCAACTCCCACTAGTAACTGTATACCGTTGCGATGAAACTTCAGCTTTTTCAGTAAGCGACATTCAGCGCAACCGACATCGATGACCTGCGGAAAGATCAAATCCCAGGTAGGAAGGTTAGCACGCTAGTTCAAGCGTAGCGTCAAAGGCCATCGCGACTTCACTTTAAAATTCTATACATGCGTTTATTTACCTTTTTAGATCTGTAGGTTTTCACGTAATCGATAACAAACTGGTATCGCTGCATGTACAGCGGAGGAGAAAACGGCGTGGTCATCTTGGTCAGATCTGCTCGGCTGTCCGTCCTCATTGAACACACGCTCGAGGTGACACCTTCACCTCAGCTGTGTGTGAATGCTTTTGCTTTACTCAGATACACTCAATCTTTAGCAAGGGCCATTAAAGCCAATGCAAAAAGGATGCATTACTGGACCAGTGTAAATTATTTATTTATTTTTTTATAATAATTTTTATCGAATTTTCACTGTAATACAAAAATAACAAGGCATCGCCCAAAAGAAACAACAAAAAACACGCACATAGTTCAGATTATTAAATAAAACATGACTACCCCATATATAACAGATTAGCGAAAGAAGGGGAAAAAAAATGAATAGGGCAGTAAAGTTAAATGTCCAGACAGTTACACAATTACAATATTACCAGTGTTAATTTAGATATTTATTTTAGTAAAAGAATGTGCTACAAATAAATAATTAAAACGTAATATACAGTAATGTTAATACTTTAAAATTTACAATAAATAATAAACTGTTTTAGAAGCGTATAAAACGTTTTTAACAGTATCATTTTAATAGTATGCAATGGACCATTGTATTTCATGAACACGGCGGTTGAGCGAAATAGGCTACATAACTTTGTGACGGTACCTTGGTTTTTTTTCTGTAATTCAATGGCACGTTGTCAGTTATTCCTAATTTATGATATATTAATGCAGAACAGAACATTTTTATACGCACACATGTCTGTATTTGTACAAATCGCAGATGCGCGCACAATTATCCATATACTGCATACATTTTATACATGTATCTTACTAACCACAAACAAATACCTTTCAATTTGAGTCTGTGGAATTCGGGATTAAATGAGTGTGCAGCAATTTGAACAAATACAGACATGTTTGTGAATAAAAATGTTCTGTTCTGCATTAATAAATTGCTCAAGCAAAAAGGAATCCATGCCTATGTGGATCAAGTGACACGCGTGCATTAATTGACGTCTAGTTCGAGTCGATCTTGTTCAGTTCATTTGGATTTTGAGACTTCATTTTCGCAGTTTACAGCATTTCACGTCCCCCTTGTGCGCGCATCTATTAATCATTTAGAGTCTAATATCATCCCATACATGATTGTGTGGTTGATCTGCCCACTTAAAAAATAAATAAATTCATGGATATGAAATATTATTTTGACTTAAAATTATTTTATTGTCTTACTTGAACATAGCTGAAGCTACCGCTAAGAAAACCCATTACAACGTAGAAAAACAATCGGCTTAACAAAGGGAACGTTGCAACAACATTACTGATTTATAGATTATAAATCAGCAGTCAGAGTTACTTTTTGTAAGGACAAACAATACTTAAAGCGGCTGTATTATTGTGTATTTTTGCGCTTTGGGTGCCCCCTACAGTTAAATTAAATGGATTTCGCGGCTCTAAAAAGACCACTTTTTTTTTTCTTTTTTTTTTATTGCTTAATGTACAGAACAAGACAGGGAACAACCAACAATGTAAGACACTTCCATTGAGACAAACACAGAGTTTACATTTAAAAAAATAAATAAAATAAAAATAAAAAAAGCACCAGCAGCAAGGATGAAAACAAAGATGTAGTCGATGTAGACATTATAAAGACAAAAGATACTAAAGTAATAAATAATATGACAAAGAGAAGCATGACTTTTCAGATTTTCTATTATGTTTTTTGAAGCATTTGAAACTCTGAAACATTTTAGCAAACTCACATAAAAATATATTGAAGGATGGTTGACTTTTAGAAGAAGCCTCACAGTAAAAGAAAAGGTGATCAAGTGTTTCAGCAAATGAAGAACAGAAACTACAAGGATCCACCTCGAAATGAAATCGTTATTGTATAAAGTCACTAACTGGGTAAATCCTAAACATAATTTTGTAATGAGTCTCCTTGACCTTTGGAGCAACTGGGTATGCCATATAAAGGGTAAAAGCTTCGTCCTTTACTGAGATTTCAACATCTCCCAGAAAAGTTCTTTGTAAATAAGTTTGTTATTACACTTACTGTCTAAAAGGTCAACATTACATATTTTCAAAGAGGGAAGAGAAACTACAGGTCTAGATAAAAGATCAGAAAAACTGCTTTGGATTATTCTTAACAATCCAGTGGGTATAGCATTGCATACCTTATTATAACCTTTTATTGTAATTCTAACTCTGTATTTATTAATGAAATCATTATAAGATAAGAAAAAGCCATTATCATCTAATAAATCATGAATAAAAATAATGCCTTGGCTATACCAATCACTTTTAAACAGAGATTTCCTATTAATAATTACAGCCCTATTGTTCCAAAGAGTGGAGTTGTGAGGGGAAAAGTTGTGGGTAAATATCATTTTCCAAAAAAGCAGTACTTGTTTATGAAAATTAGATACCTTCGGAGGAATTTTGCAAGGGTCGAGATCACATCTCAACACAAATTCAAGGCCGCCAATATTTTTAAAAATGTGGTTAGGAATATGGTACCATATTGAGTGTGTCTTTGTTAAACACTCTTTCAACCATTTTATTCTGCATGTACCAAGAAGAGATTCAAAATCAATGGCTCTTAAACCTCCATGTTCATACTCTTTCACCAAATGGAATTTACGTAAATAATGTGTTTTATTTTTCCATATAAATTTAAATAAAATTGAATTCACCGATTTAACTACTCTTGGGGCAGTATACAAAGCTTGAGATAAATAAATAAGTTTGGATATTCCCTCAGTTTTAGTCAAGAGAATTCTACCCAATATAGATAGGTCTCGAGATAACCAGTGATTTAAGGATTTTTTTCATACTTTCTATTTTAGAGTTAAAATTTGAGTGTTCTCTATTAACAACATTTTTAGTAATCATAACCCCTAAATACTTTTTTCACTGGAATGCCCTCTATATCATCTAAGTTACAATTATGGATCTCCTTTAATTCACATTTTTTAAAGTTTAGAGTCAGACCTGATGCCTTAACTCTTAGTAGTAAGATAAAATGTTTTGTGAATACGGGCCCTGATTCAGATTATCAGCTCCTCAGGAGGGAGATCAGTCAGGGTATATTCTGGCAAACTGTTTACCAATCACGTTTCGCAATCGGCAAAGCAAACTGTGGCACACGCCACTACCAACACGCGATGGGTAACTCGCAAAGCACAATGTTCTTTCCTGTTTTAGCAAATGGCTGCAATATAACAAAGAGTGAAAAAGTTAAGGGGGTCTGAATACTTTCCGTACCCACTGTATATGGGAATATATTATATATATTCTTTTTCTATTCTATCTACTGGTTTTCTTTGTATGTGTGTGTGTGTGTGTGTGTGTATATATATATATATATATACACACACACACACACACACACAAAGAAAACAAGTAGATAGAATAGAAAAAGAATACAGAGCTTTTGTTGGAGTTTTTTTTTGTTTTTTAGAAAAACAAGCAGTTAGAAAACGAATAGAGAGTGCAAGTGATAGAGGGTCAAGTGTTTGTTTGTTTTTTAAATAAAAAAAATAAAAATATATAAAAATAGAATTAGAAAAGAGAGTGCTAGAGTTTGAGGGTCAAATAAAGATGGAAGAGATGTGTTTTTAGACGTTTCTTGAAGATGCATGTGCATTACTGCATTTAAAATATATTTTGCTTTGCAATATAACAAGTTTAAACGTAACAATGTAATTAAAAAGGCAATGGTTGACATACTGTAATTGTAACTGTATGTTACCTGACAATTACTGTATCAGTTAAATATATTACACACTTTCATTATACTGAATTTATAGAATAGAACACCTTTATTGCACAGCTGTACTTTGAAATTTAAGCACTCTATAGTAGCAATACACACTTACAAACAGTTCCAGTGCACATGTTAACAAATATGTACAGACCTGTGTGAAGTTACATATTTACATTTTTTTTTTTTACAAATTAATACATTTATTCCTTGTGTTATGTCTAATCCTTAGCATTAGCTAATCTACTGCTTTGTGCCGTTCTTCAGTTATCGATTACTGATGACAACATACTGTAGTATCAGGGTTGAAGTTAAAATACGCGTAGTACTGTAAATCCATGCCTTTATCAGATCTCGTCGGAATTGGCTAGAGGAGGGTGAGCAGAATTCTGCCTAGGGCAGCAAGTTAAAAATTCCATTCAGCAACTATGTATTGATAGGAAAATAACTGATGACTTTAAGATAATTGCAGATTTTTGTGCTAAGTTCTTTAATTTAATTTATATTCTTCCAAATTCTGCTAGCAGAATTTTTTGATTCTTTATTCTCACATAAAAGAAATGAATAGCCTAAAGAAGATTGACGTCTATGTGATGAATCAATCGTTTTTAATTTAATATTGAAATATAAAAAAAGGAAAATAAAAAGGCACATTTTTATGTTTTTCATTTGTTCAAACAAAATGAAAAATCAAGAATTCGGCTTAATTTTTTGTATTTACATTCAGGGATAGAAAATTAGCCTAGTAAACAGCTTGAATATCGGATCTCTACATGTGGGCGGGAATGAAACGCCCATTTCTGCTGATTGGTAAACCAAACATTACAACAAAAATATTTATTAAAAAAAAGTATATACATAAAATAAAAAAATAAAAAACATACAGTAGATAGTTGTAGTCGCATAAATATGAAGTACGTTTATTCATTCACTGGATTAACAGTTATGTTTCGCTCTTTCGTTTGTTGTGTTTATTTACCCCTGTGCTTCGCAGGTTGCTGGTGTACTCCTCAGCCAGGGCTTTATAAAGGATGGAAAGAAAACTTCCACTCTTTCTCTGCCCAGCTGGACAGTTTCCTCTCATCACCGAGCAACTGACCGTTTGCGAAGGACATTAGACAGCCGCTGTACTGCCAAACCTCCCCTTTCAGCTCCTTGACAAGTTAACATAGGCCTACGTGTTAGATTTATTACTAAAACGCAGACATATTGAAAACAAGTGAGCAGTATATAATTAACAAGTGCCTTACCTTCTTTTTGTTAGATAAATAATCATGCCAATCACATTCCTGCAGCGGGCGAATCGTTGGATCATCAAATGACTCCGGGAATTTAGTTTTCAATCCCTATAACGTTAAGTGCAGACGTTATAGCTTTTGTGAACAAGTGTTTATTCAGCTTCTTTTAGCACAGTGAGCCATGTTCAAATTCTAAAT